AGAGAGAGAGAGAGAGAGAGAGAGAGAGAGAGAGAGAGAGAGAGAGAACACACTTTTTTTGTACCGTAAATCAGGTGAAATTGTAAGTAAAAATCAAAATATCAACTATTTGGAGGTTCCGACCATAGGTGTGATGACAGTTTAATAAACTTTTTCGATTATCCGTTACAGATTACCAGGAGAGCCAAAATCACCTGCGCCAGCGGATAACTTTTTTTTTTGCACACATGCATATTATTTTGTAAATAAATGACGAAATATTTTTTACCAAGAAAAAAATGTTTTATTTACTTTCCTTAACACGTTGACTGCCACACCAATACTCTTAAAAGTTTCTACTGCGATTACATTTTATTTACTGACCATTGGAGACTACATAATCAAACATTTGTTGTGGTATTTATTTTTGTAACTTCGTCGAAATTCAAATATTTCATATAAATCCATTTTCTTTGATATTTAACTTTCAAAATTAATTGTTTTATTTCTTCAGTAAAAAGCACTGTCACCCATATATGGGTGACATGGCGGTCAACGTGTTAATCATACCTTTAAGGGGAAAAAACATTCATTCAATTTTATGCAATAGTTCCTGAGGAAAAAATGATTGAAAATATGCTTTTTTTTGTGCGTTCACAGCGAAATGCCCCCTTAAAAGGCTAAACGTTTTTAATGTAGAAAAATTGGGAGTAGTTTACTTAGGCCCTCCATGATAATAGACCTTGACACGTTCGTTGCCAGAGTAAAACTCGTGAAAATTCCTACAGGGTTAAAATTTTGTATAGAGCCTATTGCGGATTAGATAATTTAATATTTGTAAAGATAACTGTCGAGTGATTCTCTTGGATTCTCTGCTTTGATTCTATTCGAAGCGACTAGACGAATCGAAGTAGAGAATCCAAGAGAATTATTCAACAATTGTCCCCTAAATCAGACGTGTTCATGCCAAGCTCATGGAAATCTGCATTATGACGAATCTACTATACCATGTGGTAAAATGGCGAGGTATTCTTACGCATGCTTGTTGAAAACTAGATGGGACTGAGGAACTCGTATCCAGAGCTGGGTAAAATACGTATTTTAAATAATAAACAGTAAATAAATATTTTATTTCGGATTATGCATGTATTTTTAAAAATAATATATTTTATTTGTTATAAAAAATGTTTAAGATAATATTTCAACTAATATTTCATT